TGTTCTTACATCCACCAGATGTCGTAATGTCATATTGTAGTGTTCTTACATCCACCAGATGTCGTAATGTCATATTGTAGTGTTCTTACATCCACCAGATGTCGTAATGTCATGTTGTAGTGTTCTTACATCCACCAGATGTCGTAATGTCATATTTTAGTGTTTTTACATCGTTCAGATGTCGTAATGTCATATTGTAGTGCTTTTACATCGTTCAGATGACATAATGTCATATTGTAGAGTTTTTACATCGTTCAGATGACATAATGTCATATTGTAGTGTTTTTACATCGTTCAGATGACATAATGTCATATTGTAGAGTTTTTACATCGTTCAGATGACATAATGTCATATTATAGTGTTTTTACATCGTTCAGATGACATAATGTCATATTGTAGAGTTTTACATCGTTCAGATGACATGATGTCATATTGTAGTGTTTTACCCCCTCTACATGTCGTGATGTCATACTGTAGTGTTTTACACCCTCTAAATGTCGTAATGTCATACTGTCACATCCTCAAGATGTCGTGATGTCATATTGTAGTGTTTTACATCCTCCAGATGTTGTGATGTCATATTGTAGTGTTTTACATCCTCCAGTATGTTTTTTTTTTTTCGTGGTGTAGTATCGTAGTGTTTTACATCCTCCAGATGTTGTGATGTCATATTGTAGTGTTTTACATCCTCCAGATGTTGTGATGTAGTATCGTAGTGTTTTACATTCTCCAGATGTCGTGATGTAGTATTGTAATGTTTTTTATATTCTGTAGATGTCATATTGTAGTGTCCCTACAGGTGCCGTGATGTCATATTGAACAAGCTACTTAATGGGCTTCATATTACACATAAACGACGTAATTGACCCCTGAGTTTTTGACGTAATACCGGACATTTCATTGACCATTTACGTTACGTTCATCATCAATGAATACTCTAAAGTTTGTTCCAGTCCCTTAACATTGTGGAAATGCTACTGTTACCTTTTTTGCAGCGTCATGTATCACTCTTGCCCTCTCTCGTTGTAAGGTGCTTCGTTTTCGGCACCGCAGCAAGTCCAGAAAATCGTGACCAAATCTATGATTCAGCCAGCAGTACAATAGCGGATTGATAGCGCTGTTGGCGTGACCCAAAAACAGGCCGAAAGGTAGGAAGGCCATTAAGCCTTCGTGGATCTCCTGCTGCAGAGGGAATTCCATCAAGAGGGTGGCGATGTTATACGGTACCCAACAGACTGCAAACACCAGAGTCAGGATCACGAACCGACGGGCTACAACACGACGACTTTGGACTAGTTCTTCCAATCGATAGGATGAAGTTTGCCTCCGCGGTATGGTACCAACGGGCTGGTCAGTGGTCAGTTCCTGCTTCTGGTAGCAGAGTTGTATGCCAATTTTGCTGTAAGTTAGAGTCATTACGATGGCTGGTAATACGTTAACCAGCACGAACATGGCTAGTCCGTAGAAACGACGGCTCCAGACGTCCTTCCAAACTTCCACGCAGAACACAAACACTACATCTGTACTGGGGAAGAGAAGACATCAAATCTAGAATACATTAATATCGCATAATTATGCCTTTAACGAGCTTGTAGAAACTGTTTAACAATAACTTAGCGTTAAGATTAGGGTTAGGGTAATTAAAAGATATATCAAATGTTACAGCGTGAATAACTTGCTGGTGAAGCGTGATTGTAACCAATTACATGTGTCGTAAGAAAATGGTATCAGGTTTATTGTATTTCTATACACCACTCGGGCATCAGGATTTTTTCTCATAATAATGTATAATAGTATTCCAACTACATCATGTCCGCCATATTGATTCCCGACGGCGCGTTTGGATCATTTAATCTTATGACAAATATAATCGATAAGAAAATACTTGTTAATACATAACATAATAATAATAATACAGAACGACAATATTATATGATAAAATTACGTTAACTTATTAGCTGACATCTTTTATTATTTGTAATTTAAACGCCGAATTAGTAGGCCTAAATATTGTGATAAAATCACGTTAACTTATTATTATTATCGTTATTTTTGGGCTTTGACACAAATAATATGTAGCTATACTGAGAAAAAAAATACACAATTACAATACTGAAAGGATTATAATTATACTTGTCAGAAGTTGATATATCCGTTCAACGTACTAGGAAGACATAACGGTTACCTATGTTATTCTCCCGGTAGAGGGAGGCACAGGTTATATGCTAGGATGTCAACTTTATTAAAAATCAAGACTAATGTAGTATTACAAAAGAGGATTTCAAACTGAATACTAGTACGTTTCAGCACATCTCATACTTACTTTGTTACAGGCATGGACAAACCAAATCCTCCTGTTTGTCGGATGATTAAAACTGGAATAAACAGACTGGCTGCCAGGAGCCATAGAAATATAATTCCCCACCGGGAATGACGTCTACAAAAGCACTGTCTGTATGTTAATGGATGACAAATGACCACATATCTATCGATGCTCATTAGAGTCATGGTAAATATGCTGGCGGAAACAGCGACACCTATCGAGAAATGTAGAAAGAAGGTTTACTATAAAGAAGCGTTAATATGCGTTTTTTTTGTATCCACATGCTGACCATAAAATTACATCCGTTACTTATATCGTAAGATGTGTTAATAAAATTAAGTGTGCTTACACATAGGGTAACACCGAAGTTTGTGGCTATATTTGAACACGTTTAGCTTATGTGTGGATAATGTGCCACTCAGGTTGAAAATACCAAGTGTCCGTGTAAATTAGCACTAGGTTTACGGACTTACAACGTTAAAATCCGGGGTTTGATTCCCCTCGGACAGAGTGTAGATAGCCCATTGCTTAGCTTTGAGCCAAATCAATAACAATAAGAAAACACAAAAGACTCGTATTTCAGTTTCCTTTTCCGCTGATGCAGATAAAATGTAGGGTTGAAAATTGTTATGGACTAGTCCTGTCTTGTTTCTTGATTGGCTGGACCTTTTGTTCTTTTTTCAGATTCAATGAAACCTGAAATGATATTCTTCCACGGTAGGTTTTGGAAGCGAAGTAACAACCTTTATTCTGATCAAAACTAAGTTAAATGTATAGAACTAAAATAACTTAAACGTAACACAATTAATGTACAGCGTAGTGACTAGGAAAATTTAAACTAAAACCCATAATGAATCATCAGATGGATACCCTTGCTGCTATCGACATTTTTGGCCATAATCCCGTCACGTACCCTGAAGGTAGTTCGTCATCTTGCACATGACGTCGCCATACATCCATAGCCTATAAGCTATTGATCCTACTGCTGTCGGCATACACACTAGCGCCACCAAGAGATCAGCAACAGCGAGCGTGATAAGGAGAACATTTGACGAGCGGCGTATATGGCGATATCTGAAATAATATATGTATATATATATACATGTGAGATTTGCTTCATATGTTAGAGAAATTCAAACTGCAAACTGGTTTATCTTATTTTTATAATGTCAATACAGTTGCTTTTAGTTAAAGAAGAAACGCTCTTATTTTTCACAAATCTTGTTTACTTAATTTGAGAAGAATCACGGATTTAGACATAAGTAAACACTGCTTTTGGCAACAACAGCAGCAGAGAGTAATGCAACTACTGTCTCGCACACTCATTTGGAAATCATGCGATGGATCTTAATCCAAACGTTTTTCATCGTTTGGCCGAAGCCTTAATCAGATATTTTTCTCCCTTCAACGACTATAACAGGCTCTTTCTATTACTAAGTTTATAAGATAATTGATAAGAAACTTTCAATAAAACACGATGTTTTGCTTCTTGTTCTTTTATTTTACTAGTAGCAGTAACTGACCAATAACTGAAACACATTATCTAATTTATTTTGGTAGCTTGAAGTTAGTAAAAGTAACTAACTAGATAGCTAATGAACACAATTATCCATTATGTTTAGGGCACATTTCTAGTAACTAATCAAAAGGAATGAAAAAGCTGGTTATACCGTAAAAAAATACAGTATTATAAGTATTTTGATAGAAAACGTAACTTAACTTGTAGTTACACACCTGTAAAAAACTAGCAATGCCACCGCATTAGCAGAGGTCGCCACTAGGAAACAAATGACGTAAAAGATAATTAGTGTTAGATTAGATGGCTTACGAAGAGTCAATGTTTCCTTGTCGTAGGCTTTTAATACGTTATTCAAGTCGGATTCATTCAACGATCCCGAAAAGTTGAGAGCTAATTGAAGCCATCCTTCCTCCAGTGACATCTTGGCTAAAACTAGTGCAGAAAAACACGAGTTTTGAAAATAATACTCATGGAAACGTTTCCAAGGGCGAGCCACAAAATAAGTATATTATTCACATATTTCTGTTTTGTTTTTCTTATATTAAATGACATTGTAGATTTACATCTATAAATACAGTATCGAAGTAATTCCAGTAAGGGTAACGTTAGTCTTAGCTTTACATTAGAAAGATTAGGCATAGGTAAATAATTTGGCCATTAAAATTAAACAGGAAGTAGCAAAATATAACTTAAATGATACACTGTAGTAAAATAAAAACATTTTGGTGTGAACACTTTTAACAAGCTGGCGAAATATGGTAATAAATAGTTATATCTGTCAATAAGACACTATGTTAGGCCTATCATATTTTTGACGCCATATTCTTTATCTAAACCATTAGAGATTTCCAAGAATTAGAAAAGTGTGTAATAATAGTAATAACAATACTTTCGTACTCAATAATGTCATGACAGTACAAGACTATTATTACCGCTTGCACTAATTCAAGTTTCAGTCAGTTATATGTTATATTTATGTATACCTTCTAACTCCTGACGAAGGATTGACTACCAGTTCGAAAGCTTAGGACTAAATAAACATTTTTGAAAAGCATTCACACACACATATTGGCAAATTACTAAACAATATTATTATTGTGAATTTATCTGAATTTTTCATTTACAAAAGTGGGCAACATTGTGGAAGAAGCTTCGAGACGTGTTTTATTCCTTATTTCATGGTTTCTCGCGTAATTTTGTCGTAAGAAGAAAAAAGTTCGTTGCTATTTAGTGTACCAGCAATTCTTATTGAATTGTTTAGATATCAGATCATTAATTTAAACTGGATATTTTGCATAGTTGGGTTTGATTTGTTGTTGTTGTTGCCTAGCGATGTAGTACTGAAACACGAAACGGTTTCGTTCAAGTGACGATACTGGATAAACCTAGTGAAACTTAAAGTTTTTTAGAACTAGAATGAGTTTTTAAAAACGTATTACTTGTTTTATCCATAAAGAAATATTTAATTAGCAGACTTACAGAGGGAAGTTTAAAACACAACAATCATGTTATTCGTGCTCTTTGCGCAACGGTTTTCAAATGTATTACTCGCCAATTCAAGAACATCACGAAACACAAATACACAGCTAAAAGTGTTCGTAACGCATGTCCCCAGGTGGGGATCGGCGGTAAATCTGAGGACTACAAATCTAAAATCCGGGGTTCCGTTCCCCGCGGTGTACAGGGCGCATGTATTTATACTTAGGACTACACAAGAAACAAACAAAAACAAATCGCCTGAGACAGGTGTATTTATACTTAGGACTAAACAACAAACAAATCGCCTATGAGACTGGTGTATTTATACTTAGGACTAAACAAAAACAAATCGCCTATGAGACTGGTGTATTTATACTTAGGACTAAACAGGAAACAAACAAAAACAAATCGCCTATGAGACTGGTGTATTTATACTTAGGAATAAACAAGAAACAAACAAAAACAAATCGTCTATGAGACTGGTGTATTTATACTTAGGACTAAACAAGAAACAAACAAAAGCAAATCGCTTATGAGACTGGTGTATTTATACTTGGGAATAAACAAGAAACAAACAAAAACAAATCGCCTATGAGACTGGTGTATTTATACTTAGGATTAAACAACAAACAAACAAAAACAAATCGCCTATGAGACTGGTGTATTTTTACATCGACAAGTTTCTAAAATCCTTGAGATTCGTCTCTCTCGGAATACTGGAACATTTTTTCAACATCCGTACCATGAGGTTAGTAATGGGGTTGATAATCTCACAACAGGAGACTAGGGTTAGTGATGGGTTGATAATCTCACAACAGGAGACTAGGGTTAGTGGCGGTGTTGATAATCTCACAACAGGAGACTGGGGTTCGTGATGGGTTGATAATCTCACAACAGGAGACTAGGGTTAGTGATAGGGATTGA